AATTAATATTCAAAATTTTATTAAAAAATTTAAATGTTAAAAAAATTAGTAAAAATCTTCGCAGGCAAATTTGCCTGTGTTACAATTTAAGGGATAGTAAATACTGATTATTACTCAATAAGTGTCATTTTTAATTCATATTATATTAAAATTTTTATTACTTGTAAATTTGATATATCAAAAATAATACAACAATGGGTATAGTAACATGGTAAATGGCTGCCATATACTGTGTCATTTTAGCCCTGGTTAGAATTAGGGTTTGGAAAGGGTTTTTAAAAGCATAAGAACATTTTTACTAGAATACCTCACACCGATTAATTAGCTAGTGTTTGTAATAATAATGTATACATAGATATAAAACACCATAGTCTTTTATTTGATCTTTTTATTTTTAAAAATAACAATTAGATTCTATAAAAAATACTATATATATATATTTAATTTAAAACTATATATACGTTTAATTATTTTTATTATTATTTGTAATTTAAGCCATAGTGATGAGTCAAATTCCATTGTCGCGTGCGTGATGTCGGTACTTATGATTAGTAATCATTATTACTAATCATGAGCATGGTTTGATTACAATGAAGTTTCTGATACATCACTAATGGCGATAAATTACAAAATTCTAAATTATAAGTGATCAAACTTTAAATATATACTATTTTATTAAGGTTAGGGTAGAAACCAGGGCTTAACCCACTATATTAATTTGCCGGCCATTCGAAAGTACTATTCTTGATCTATAGTAGATTAGATAGTAATTGGCCGGTATAGTGAACAATAAGATGTACAATATACTAATTTCGATGAATCAAAAGAACACTTTAAACAATAGCAACGGTACAGTAAATGGCCGGCAAATTAACAGTTAGAACAAGGGTAGATATATAAATATTTTAATCTGACGCAGTTATAAACTTGACGCACAACAAAAGATACATATATTATTCAGATATTATATATATTATATATATATATATATAATATATATACGTAAATATATATATATATAATATATATACGTATATATATATATATATATATATATATATATATTACGTATATATAATATATATATCAGATATATACGTATAAAATATATACTACGTATACGTACGTATAGATCAGAAACACACACATATATATACTTAAATATATATTTAAGTATAGGTACGTATATATGTAGTATATACAACAAAGTGACAAATAACACTTTCCAAGTATGGGACGGTATTCGTATTACCGATACCGTTACTCGTGCATGTGTATGATGTAAAATCATGAGATCACGGCTGAAAATCTATATAATCGTCACTATAAAACTGTGATGGAAATTTTAAATGCGTGGCCGAAGTAAAAATATTTCAATTTTTTTTTATTTGACTGTCGCTGCAACGGTATGTGTGTCAATCATGTTAAAATTTTGCTATCGGTTATCGTTTTGATTTATAAGCAATAATAAATAATAAAATTATTAGATAGTGTTATTCTTTTTCTCATCTCAAATTTATGATATAATAATGAGTGACGAAATTAAATCCAATGTTGAAGTAAGTTTTTATCATCTTTAGGAAAATTAAAAAATTATTATTTTAACTAAATGAAATTATGTCTCGCATGATACAACGATTTATTCAGAAAGCTATTGCCGAAAACCATGTAATGGTTTTTAGTAAAAGTTATTGTCCTTATTGTAATCGTACTAAACAAACCTTGAAGGATCTTAATATAAAATTTGAAGCCTTGGAACTGGATACGATGGGAGGTTTGTCTTTTTTTCGTTTTTAAGTAACATAAATGTATAATATATGTTATATGTACATTGCCTCGTTCCTAAACAATTAAAATTTTTTTAGAAGATGGGCCGGCAATCCAAAATTACCTTTCTCAAAGGACTAAACAAGTAACTGTTCCAAACATCTTTATTGGGCAAAAACACATTGGTGGTAAGAAAATAATTTGTTGATTTTTTTTTCAAACTCTCAAGGATTTATAGACTAAATTATTTGATCGAATATCTTTTACAAGGTAACCAAGAACTTCAAGAACTTCATTCAAAAGGAGAACTTACAAAATTAGTGGAGACCACAAAAGCTTAGTTTTTTTGAAGCTTTTAACGTTAGATAAATGACCATATGCAACACGGGTGTAATGGTTGACCCATATTAGTAATAGATTACCTTATTTTTTGCCAAAAATGTATAAATTTCTTTTTAGCCACTTGAAAATGACGGATGAAATAAGTCATTTAATAAAGTAATATTGGTATCCACAAATGAGATGTTTCACAATTATCTGAGTTGAGTTACGTAGATGCACACGCGCTTCTTATATTCGTGTAATCTTGTTTAGATAATTCATGCACAATAACGATAAAACATACGATCGAGCCATAGCTAAGCCACCAAAACTCATAAGAGTGCCCCTGTGAATTCTTGATCTATTTCTTCTATATTGTCGCTCGTTCTAAATATTATTTCCTCTCATTAAACAAAACCGACCAAGAATAATGGCCACCTCAAAAGCTAAAGGCTCAACTTCAAGCACACCAACAACTTCTACAAATTCAACGGTAGCTGTTAACAGTTCGACATCAACGAAACATAACGGAATAAATTCGGTTGCTGGTGAACTTGGTGCAAAACGAGTTGCAAAAGGAAAAGAAGTTGTCGGAAAAGAAATTGCTGCTGTATGTCGTCTTTGGGTCATTTACTGATTGGTTAATTTTTTCTTACTGACTCGTTCATTTTTGTTAATTTGTTCAATTCAGCTTGATTTTAATACCTTCGATATTTCAGTATTGCGTAGATATAAACGGATTCATAAACTAAAAGTTAAGGATTATGCAACTAAGGAAGAGTTAGTTAACGCCGTTACTCGCCATTATGCTTCCCAAGCTCCTAAAGAAGTCGACGCCATTTCAGCTTTTATCTATTCTGTTCATCATAAAGGTTTCTTTTACTATCCAATTACTTTGTTTACACATGGCTTTACCTTATTATTGATTATTGTTTTCTAATAGACACGCTGTTGAAGCTTCCGATTCCATGATCAACGAAAATACACCCTTTCTTTTTTTCTTGCGAGGACTCTTAATGTAGACCTGGGGTTTACAATTTTATCGTAGACCGGGAAAATGCTATTGATTAATTAGTGTTAGTGTTTTTTTAAGTTATTCAAAACTGCATATAGATATATATCTTATAAATCTTAATAAAAAAAATTTTTAATTAATAAAAAATACCTTACTAAAACATGTCTATGGTGTTTTACATTTAACTGTGTATTATAAGCTGGCTAATTAATTGGTGTATAGTGCTCAGAGTAAAATTGTCGAAACTCTTTTCAAACCTTAAATTTAAATTTAATAAAAAAATTTAAAATTTTGGCTATTTAAAGTTTTTCTTTTTTTTAAATTTTAAAAAAGGTGGACCGGTACCCAGCTTTTAGTTTTATTTTCAAAAAATTACATATTAAAATTTTGTTTCGATTTTACAGCTATTATCATAATTCCTGAGACAACTGATAAAAATTTGCCGAACGATTTTTGGCCAATTCGGTTAAGATTGTGTCAATTCTATTTTGTACCTCCAGATAAATTATGATAACACTCTTATACGTAATTTAAGATCAGGTGACTAATATAAATATTATAAGACTACATGTCGACATGCATACATTATCTCTGGTTTCAAAGGTTTCAAAGCATTTTCGCTGGCAAATAGTTGAAAAAAAATAAATTTTAAAAAAGCATGGGATTAAGTCCATAGGTGACCCTTTCATTTGGAACTGGGGCGTGACCGATCGTTTCATATGACAAATAATTATTTACTATATATATTGTTTATGGCATTATTGTAAAATAATCATTATAATACAAAAATATATAGCTTTTATTATACAGATCATGCCGGCAGTGTCCCAGGAATTATGATAATAGCTGTAAAGAATTTTTCTCAAGCTTAGCAATTTTAAAAATTAACTTTGCTTGGCCTATATATAATGCTTACAAAAAATTTAAACTTAACATATAATAGACATTAAAAACATAATAAATGTTATATTATTGTTTAGGCGAGTTAGATTACTTGATCTGTTAATTCCGGTTAGATTTGGATTATTTATTTTTATTTTATCCAAAGTTGGATTGTCTAATAGAGTTCTTAAAGAACAATGCTTATATATAGATGGGAATACTAAAACGTAACCCGTGATTTGTCATCATTTAAATAGAATACTAACTCCTAAAATTGGTTTTTTTTTTGCTTTTTAAAATTTAAATAATATACAGTATATAAATTATTTTAATAAGCAAATAAAATTATTTATATTAGGAAATTGCTAATTTACACCTCACCTGTAGTTAACTTGCCAATTATAGCTATTTTCAAAAAGGTGTACCCACTTTATCATGGGATAACCACATGATTTCCCTGATTTTCTTGATTTCCTTGGTTCTGTGATCAAAGGGAAATCGAGGAAATCAAGGAATTCATGTGGATTTCCCATGATACAATGGTTTACACCCGGGTACACCTTTTTGTAAAATTCAGGATCAGGTATAACGTGTAAATCAATTTTGTGAAAAGTTTTTAACTATTTTTAACAAGGGTTGTAGGCACGGGCTTGCATGTCTAGATGCATGTTCTTGGGCCAAAAGGCATATACTGCTATATACCGTAAATGGCCATATAAAAGACCCCCCCTTGATAGTAGACCCCCACTAATATACCCGGGTCTAAACCAGGGTTAAAAATTTAGTGGAATGTAAGAGACCCGGTGTTTTTTATTAGTAATTTATATTTAACAAGAAGAAATCCACCCATTACTATACCCCCTCTCCGAACAATATACCCCTGGGTATAATTCAAGTTTTTTAATTGGTGGAATGTAACATACCCGGGTCGTCTATATGGCCATTTACGGTAATTATATTGTTATGCAGCAATTTGATTGGTTATTATAAGCCACATATATTAATTTTTTTTTTGCATATATACTTAATGATTATATTATAGAAACAAGCAGATGCTAATAATAGAAACTTGGATATCTTTTTTGACAAGAAAAACAAAGTATTAAAAGATTTAAATAAAAAATAATTGTAGAAAATAAAGAATTTTTAGTTCTTGATAGAGCTGACAAGGTCTTCCAACCCACATGTGGGTTGGTGCGACAAGTCGCATCTGGGCGCACATGATGTAGCCGGGTGATGTCGGGCTTGCAATTTTTAATTAGATATTATTAGAATTTTTAAACCTTGTTTTTAGTTTAATAGTAATATAATTTGTATTTGAGTACTGACAAGACTGTCAAAGAATTAAAAAAAAATAAAATAAAAAAAAATAAAGAATTTTTTATAAAAAAACTTTTTGATTTTAAAATATTTAAAAATATATAAATATATAGGCAGTTAAAAGTAAAAATCATCCAAATTGTTTTTAAATAATTTTCTGAACTTCAAATTAAAATATCCCAATAACCATTAAACCAAACTTGATAAAATTTTTTTATTTAATTCTATATATTTATAGAATTAAAATAAAAAAAAAATTAGTAGATTTGGTTTAATAGTTGTTAAAATATTTTAATTTAAATTTTTAAAAAAACTTACTAAAAACAATTTGGTGGTTTTTTTTTTTTTTTGGTATTAAGATAAGGCCTTACTCATATCTTTATTAATTAATTTATATAAGTAATTATATATCAACTACAGTCAACTCCCTCTAAGTGCAACCCCTCTAAGTGCAACTTCTCTCTAAATGCAATTAAATAGTCTGGTTCTGTGTTGGGACTTATAATATAAATGCAAGTTCTTTATTCTC